CTGCGACCCTGTATGTACCCACTGAATGTGGGGCCTGGACGACCTGAGCAGTCCGGGCCCCCTCCGTTGCGGTTGTCATGCCCTGATGGCGGCCCTGTCTGCCGGTATAGGGGTTGTAGTGTGTATGTGTGTGAGGGGTGCAGTATGTGTATGGAGGGGTAGTGTGTGTGTGTGTGTGTGTGAGAGGTGTGCAGTGTATGTATGGGGTAGCAATTTGTATATTGGGAGCAGTGTGTTTGTGTGTAAAGGGTGCAGTGTGTGTATTGGGAACAGTGTGTTTGTGTGTGAGTGGCGCAGTGTATTTTTGTGAGGGGTGCTATGTGTGTATTGTGGGCTGTGTATGTAGGGCTGTGTGTGTGTAAGAGGGGGCTGTGTGTGTAAGGGGGGAGCTGTGTGTGTGTGTAAGGGGGAGCTGTGTGTGTGTGTTAAGGGGGAGCTGTGTGTGTGTGAGGGTGTGTGTGTGTGTAAGGGGGGCTGTATATTTGTGTGTAGGGGGTTATAGTTTGTGTGAGGGGATAGGGGGCAGATTAAGGATAAAAAAAAATTATTAAATAAATATAGATAATGTCCCTCCTCCCTTCTTACTTTTGCTGAGGGAGGGGGAGACATTGCTTTCTTTCCATTCCCTGGTGGTTCTAGTGGGGGAGTGAACTCTAACCTGAAGCTCATGCTAGAGTTCACTCTCGCGAGAACGGAGCGTTGCCATGGTAACGCTCCGTGCTCGCGAGAGGAGAACCCGGCGGAGCTGCGGGTTCTCTCTCCCTCGCCCTCCCCTGCCGGCCGCCCAGCAATCTGCCTGTGAGCCGGGGAGGGAAATCACTGATCTCCCCTCCGGTCCGTGATGGCAATCAGCAGGGCTGGTGCTTGGATAGCACCAGCCCTGCATGGGCCGGCAGGGGAGAGCCTCGGGCAGCAATATTTTCAGGGGTGGCAATCCGTTGCTTTGGATCCACCAATGCAGTAGCACCACCTCCCAGGCAGTTAAATAATCCTTATAGAAGAGATAACAAATCTCACAGACAAGGAGTTAATAGTGTGAATAGAGGTATTACTCTGACTGGAAATGATAGGGTTCCCACCAAATCACCCAAAAGTGCAAGTTAAATATAAAGGATTAGATTAATTCTAATTATTTTCCAGGAGTAAAATAGGATCTTGTAAAATGGTATTGATAGTATTGCTTATAAGTCAATATTGGTAAAACACAGTATACATATGCATTAGATCTGCAAATATTACACCATACAATGGCATTACTATATGCAAAATGTAAGAGTACGGGTTGCTAAAAAAAAAAAAGGATTCTGAGTGTTAAAACTTCAGTGTTGTTTAAAAAGAGCTGTTTAAAGTCCACAATAGTTTGCAACTTTGTATAATCTATTTAGATACAGTTGCAAAAATAGTCTTTTGAAATGTTAGCTGGTGGCAGTTATCCCCGTTATTGTGTTAGCTAGGGTATATCTGCTAAACAGGCAATGTTAATATTGTACAAAAAACAATCTTGCTTCTTCAAATGGTATATAATTTTAATATTGTACACTATGGTTCTCTGCAATCAGTTGTAAGCTTTAAGATCATATGAGAGACCCCATGTTATAGGAAGTATCTTAAATCTATGGGAAAATAAAACTAAATCCCATAGTGCTTTCTGTTTAAATGAATAAATTTTTATTTCAAAACTGAGTAAAGTTAAAATTGCACTCACAAATTATGCCAAGAGGATATGGAAGCGCTGGATGATATTTGTAGCGGATGGCAATGGGCTGTCCTCAAGGATTCGTGTTACAAATGTATTTTGTGTAATTATTGCAATGTGTATTGCAATCGTCTGATTGTTCAGTAGTTTTCATTCAGTTTTTCACACGAATTAAACTACCGAACCATCAGACCATCCAAGCGAGAAGTGTGCACCTCATTAAGCTTTCACACTCTGTAACCTAATTGACCGTGAAATCGCTACTTTGTATGTATCTGTGTAGTCACAGTTCGGCATACGAACCACGTGGCTGTGGCCATCTTACGCAAGAAAATCTCAGCTGTGTTTAGTCATCGAGTCTGGAACTCAAATCGGACACTCAAACAACCGAACACCGCTGAGACCTCCAGAGCTCCGTACCTCTCGAACGGAGGGGCCAACCAGCCCCTCGTTCGGTGAAATCAATGTCCCGAACAACTTGCTATAATAATAATATAATATCAACATAAAATAAATATATTTTATGTTTGTTGATATTATGTTTTGTTTGATATTAAAGTATACTTTTAGTTACTTTTATATCTATTTATATTTATATCTATTTTTTACTTCCTGGATTCTGCATATCCTTGGTGGGGATTATACCACCTGTGCTGTTTATACTAGAGCAAGTTACATGCTCAGGAAATTGTAAGTACATTACCAAATTTCTATTAATTTTATTAATGGTACTTACTTCACTATTGGCTGCTATTTTTGTTTTTATTACACATACTGCACTTCGAATTATCTGGACCAATTGGAACATCATATCCTAAGACGGGGATTATACCGTCCAAGCGCACTACAGCTGAGCTCTTATAGCTCATACAAATGTGAGTGGACTGAATTACAAGCTACAATCACCATCTTATAATATTTATTGTTACTGTACTGCACTATTATTTCTTTTATTTCTATTTATTCCGAGTTTCAAACTCATTGGAATTACCTATAAGTATATGTATGTATTATTCACATTTTTAAAAGCTCGCCTTATAAAAATGTGGTTAATGACATTTACTGTCCACACAGGAAATGTTGTGCCGAGCAGCAACCAAATCCACAGAAGGGTTAATGCTGAGCAGCAATTAGGCAAATGGGAACCTGGTAACTGACTTTGGGGTCAAAGGCCAGTTACAGCCTATCTGATCTAGAGGAGGGGTATTTAGGCCCAGTTCTCATCCTGCTCAGTGCCCTGTCGTGGTTTTCCCTTGTGGTTGTCCGAGAGCGCGTTATTGATTCTGGTAAATCTGGTTATTTGACTTTGGCTTTGTTTTTGACTTCCCTGTTTTCTGGCATCCCCGACTCCTAGCTTTTCCTTATCGTTGTGTCTCTTTTTGTTTCCCTTGACCTCGGCTATTCCTGACTGTTCTTTGGTACGTTAGTCCAGCAATTCTAAGGTCCGGTATACGTTACCTATCAGTCCTCTGTGTTATACAATTCTACGTGCTGGATCATTCTGTAATCCTGACATTACGACATGGCCATAGATCCTGTAGAATTGTGTAAGCACATAGCTGCTTGCAAAAGGAAACTAGAGGAGAATGATCACCGCTTGGATCAATTTGCCCAGGCTTTCAGTACGCTTCTTACTCGTAGAGCGCATCTGCAACCTGCGGCTGCTCCTACTGTCTCACCTATAGTATACAAGTCACCAACTATCTCTCTATCTCCTCCTCTGCATTTTGATGGTCATTTACAAGAATGCCAGGGATTCCTTAACCAAATTGAGTATCATTTTGAGGCCTCACCGGGATCTTTTCCCACAGACAGAGCTAAAATTGGTTACCTGATGAATAAATTAAAAGGTAAAGCTTTAGCTTGGGCCAATGCATTTTGGGAGAGTAATAGGAGTGTGGCACCGAACTACCAGGAGTTTATTACGGAATTTAAACTTACGTTTGAACCATTAGGCAGGGAGGAAGACGTCTCTACTGCCCTGATGCAAATCAGACAAGGGAACCGGTCTATCTCAGAGTATGCCATAGAATTTCGTACCCTAGCTTCCGAGGTAGACTGGACTAATAGTGGGTTAATCTCTGCATTTAAAAAGGGACTATCTGAAACTATGCTAGATGAGATTGCCGCCAAAGACTTACCCAAAAAGCTTAATGAATTTATCACTTTTGTCATGCAGATTGATAATAGATTGAGAACCAGAGAAGCTACTAGAAACAAGACCAGACACGTGAATATGCCTTTAGCACGCCACTTCTCCAAACCTATTGTCCCTGAATTTCCTGTACAGTCCAAACCCATGCAGTTGGGGGTCACTAGACTGCCGGAAGCAGACAATATAGGAGAAAAGGCGGCCTATGTCTATACTGCGGTAGAAAAGGACACATGAGAAACAATTGTCCCATACATCCGGAAAACTACTGCACCTTAAGGGGACAGGTCTTAGGTGTAATGGAAACGTCCTCTGGAATGGATAAAAATAGGTTTCTCCTTTATATTTCTATTGCCTTTGAAAATAACTTTTCATGCAAAGCCCTGGTGGATTCAGGTGCTGCTGGAAACTTCATCAACGTTTTTTGTTAAAGGTTTTTTGTTAAAGGTAAATAGCCTCAAGGAGAGGCTATTACCCCTAGCTGTTGAAGCTATTGATGGGACACCACTCTCACAACCATTGATTACACACGAAACCTTACCTATTAATTTGTCCATTGGTGCCTTACATAGGGAAGAGATTACATTTCAGTTTATTGCATCCCCTTCCTGTCCGATCATATTAGGCTTTCCATGGCTTAACAAGCATAACCCTCATATTGACTGGGCTAATGGGGAAATATTAGAATGGGGTAAGGATTGTTATGAAAGGTGTATATTGAATGTTGCCAAAAGAGTGGGCACTATTGGATTACCCACTAGTACACCTCAAAACCCGGAAATCACTATACAGTACCAAGACATTAAAGAAGTATTCAGCAAATACTTTACCTCCTCACAGACCTTATGACTGTTCCATTAATTTACTACCCGGCGCTATGCCACCTAAGGGAGCAGAAAAAAGTGCTCAGTGTAAATGGGCGCTTAATGGAAATGCAAATTAAAAACAGCAGCTCAACACACGTGCAGGTATCCCAATCCTACACAAACAGATATGTGAAAAAAGAGTGTGAACTTCGTAGATGTACTACCACCACAAAGATCCCTCTGTGGAGCGCTAGAGATAGGGAAATATCTTACCCCTATATAAATATCGTATATATCACTTTAACAGCATATAAAATCTAGAACAGAGAAATACACATCATAGTGCAGAATGATTGTAAAATGTGTATGGCATGGAGGAGAGTGTAAGTCCAACTCACATGGCACAGAGCCTAAGGATTGGCTCAAATCACAACAGCTTGGGTATATTAAATATAATATATATATATAAATATACCCAAGCTGTTGTGATTTGAGCCAATCCTTAGGCTCTGTGCCATGTGAGTTGGACTTACACTCTCCTCCATGCCATACACATTTTACAATCATTCTGCACTATGATGTGTATTTCTCTGTTCTAGATTTTATATGCTTTTAAAGTGATATATACGATATTTATATAGGGGTAAGATATTTCCCTATCTCTAGCGCTCCACAGAGGGATCTTTGTGGTGGTAGTACATCTACGAAGTTCACACTCTTTTTTTTCACCTAAGGGAGCAGTCTATGCTCTGTCACCTCAGGAGAGTGGAGTAATGGAGGAATATATTAAGGATTCATTGAATAAAGGCCACATACGAAAATCATCCTCGCCTGCTGGGGCAGGATTCTTTTTTGTATCTAAAAAGGACAGTGAGTTGCGCCCATGTATCGATTACAGGGCATTGTACAAAATCACCATTAAAAACGCCTACCCCATTCCTCTTATTGCTGAATTATTTGATAGACTCCAAGGTGCTAAAGTATTTACTAAGCTTGATCTTAGAAGTGCTTACAATTTAGTGAGAATCAAGGAAAACCATGAGTGGAAGACTGCATTTAATACCAGAAGTGGACACTATGAATATCTAGTGATGCCATTCGGGTTGTGCAATGCTCCAGCGGTTTTCCAAGATTTCATAAATGATGTACTCAGGGATTACATTTACTTGTTTGTCTTGGTCTATCTGGATGATA